TTATACTTCAACTTTACTGAGCACCAGCTGTCCTGAATAACCGTCACAGAGACGTGCTCGGGTTAGCACTGACTGGTGTAAATAACCAGTTTATGGCTCAACAAAGAGTCGGTTTAGCAGCAGCCTAAAAGTCCCAAACAGATCACCTCCAACCTACCAGTGTAACACAAGTGATCTAAATATCAAGTTTGAAGAACGATGATTAAAATAATTTAATTAATTACAAAATTATTATTTTCTCTGTGTTTTTATTAAACTGAACACTAACCAGTTCTCCTCCATTCTTACGACTGCTGCAGCTTCTGCCGACTTTTCTATTCGTGAACTAGAGCAGCATAGTTACAGGTTTAATGAGCACTTATTGGTCTAAATATCACCAAGAACAAACTTTCAACCAATCAGCACTCATCTAAGTAATCTGTTTAAATAATCCGTTTTCTGAAACAATGACCAGTTCAAGTTATTGATTTACACTCCAGAGAACAAACCTGTTTAATGAAGCTGTTAATGGGAACCTGCCAGTTTAAACTGAGCCAGTTTTCACTCCAGTTAAGAGTTTACTGAGCAGTTTGTTAACGAGTACATCCTAAAAGTTTCAGAGCGTATTTGAGCAACCAGTTTAGTCTAAAGAGATCAAGTTTCCTGAACAATGACCAGTGAAAGTCACCAGTTTATCAGGACAGAGACGAAACTGGTGACATTCACCTGGATTTGATCACTAACACATCGATAAGTGCTGTTTGAGCACTAACCAGTATGAAGCCAGTTTACTGAGACTGTGATGCAGCAGTGAACCAGCCTAACTGATGTCACACCTGTGTGTGTTTAAAATGACCAGTTTTCTGTGTGATTAGTTAAAGTTAGCAGTTTAGTGAACGCCGGCCGTTTAACAGAGCAATCGTGAATAAATACCAACATGAACTCAGAGTGTGAAAGAATCTCTACAATCGGACACTCAGCCTCGTGTTCGCTGTTTCATCATCGTTTTCTACTTTATTCTGATCTCAGTTTTACACAAGCACAGGTGTCAAACTCTGAATTACTATCAGAGCTGGCCTGCTGCTATCATACAGCTAATATATATATTGTTTAGTATTAAGCTTTGCTTGTTCCATATTCAGTTTTTCAGCAAAACTTGTTTGAGTCCATAAGAAAAGATTCATTCTTATATCTGGAGGAATAAATATATTTCAGTAAATATTAACGTTAGCCCGACTTTGTTCCAGTTTTGAATTTTGGCCCACTGAGTATTTGAGTTTGACACCTCTGCTCTAAAGTGTCTTTTACTCTTTACTGGGTTTGATTTAGAAACCAAGGTCAAAATGAAGACAGATAGTGAGTTATAATATCAAAGCTTTCCTAATATTTCGCTCTCCTCAGGTGTATTAGTTAACTTTAGTTAACCTTAGTTAACCTTAGTTAGTTAACCTTTGAACCTTTGTTCTGATTTGTGCTCAGCGTGAGCTGAAAAACAACAAACAGCAGATTTTCTGGAAGCAGAGGCGTTCCTAATAATCTGCTCTCAGATTAGAGCTCATGA